TTAGGGGGTGATGATTTTTTCATGTGTTGTGACATATTTGCACATTTTTAAAAGTTTGGATCCATAATTACAATTTATTCTTTTTTTTTTAATTTTCTTTTCTTGTTGTTTTATTTTCATAGAAGGGTAAAATGGTAAAAAATAGACGAAAATGACGTTTTACGCTAGAAAAGGCAAAGGAAGGGACATTCTGCGCCAAAAAACGAAAGGTATGGACGTTTTGCAAAAAAATCGTCAAAAGTAGATACGTTTTGCGCCAATTACCCAGTAAAAAATATGACAAGAATTCTGCTACATTTACATTGTTTAGTGGGTTGTAAAATTTACAGCCCACTCTAATTAGTGTGAGATCCGTTACAGCCCACTAAACACTGTATAAGGTGCTTTTTTCATATGAAAATGCACACAAAAAATGTGTCTTATACAAAACAATGAGAATTCACAACGTGACAAAAAAATAATGAACAATGATAAACAATGCCCTGAAGTATTGATATGATGGAAAATATTATTTTATTGAAAAATGTGTGGTTGAAAATGAGAATTGATTTACTGTAGAATTTGAGAATAAAAAACAAATACTATATTTGTTCACATTTTGAAACACTACTAATGGAAGAAAAAAAGGAAAATATAGCCCTTGTTTGGTTCGCTTCTTTCTAAATTTTTTGCATTTTTCCGATCGTTGTACATTGTAATAAGGAAGCACTCGTCATTGTTGAACTGAGGAAGCAGTCACAATTGTTGAAAAAATGAAGTTGTCATAAATTTTTACATAATGAATCACCAAAAATGCCCTCCTCAAGGAAAAATTGAAGAATTGCTAAAGAGATCATTTTCGGTAATTCAAATATAAAAAAATATGAAAGTTTCATTTTGTTCAACAATTGCGGCCGCTTTCTTTATTCAACAGTTGCGGTTGCTTCCTTTTTACATGGTATAACGGTACGAGAAATGCTAAAAAATTCACAACGAAGCACCATCAAACGGGGGCATAAGTTGAGATCGCGAGGTATCAATCTTGTTTGTTTTACCCAAAATTAAAGTGTACGAAATTTGAAGCCTGAAAATTCTCGTCACGGCACACATTACTTTTTCCAATTATTTCCATTTAAAAACTTATTTTTTTTTTAACAAGTTTACTTATTATTTAGAAAAGTAATTTTACTTTTAAATTTTTATAGCTCAGCCAAATATTTTTCCTCCCCAAATTGGTCCCTTGACAAATTTCTCAAGTACAAAACTCGCTCTGCGACGCCGTGTAAGAGCTTCCAATTACACGGCTATTCATTTTCCATTATCTCCACCATTTCCGGATCTATATCCACTGTTGCAGTAGAATAATAAAGAAAGATGTCATCATCAATGGAAACTGACCCGCAACTCCCCAACGGCAACAACACCGGCGCCGCTCCTGCCGCTGGCACTGGTGCTGCCGCCACCACAACTCCATCATCAAAGATTGGCCAACTGGCCGAGTCCTTGAAACTGGAACATCAGTTCCTCCGCGTTCCCTTCGAGCACTACAAGAAGACGATCCGCGCCAACCATCGTATCGTCGAGAAAGAGGTATCCGCCGTCATCTCTGGCGTATCCATGGCCGCCGATTCTGATCTCTCCCGCGACGATGCTGTTCTCCAACTAAATTCTCTTGTATCCAGATTACAGGGCCTCAAAAGGAAGGTATGGTACAATTTATTTACGTGCATGTACAATCCTCAAATTGCTCTTTGTTTTCCATATGCTTGTTGGGTTTTCGTTTTATGTTTCTGGGCAAGAAAAGAATACTCTCTGTTTACTTGTATGAATAATCCTCAAATTGCATTCCTTTTTTTTTCCATATTTCTTTTCTATGTTCTTATTGGCTTTTGCTTATTTGTTTCTGGTCAAGAAAAGAATAATAAAGACAAAATCATGTTCACATTTTAGGATATCAAGATTGGTTTTCTTTAAACTAACATTCAATGGAAAAGCATAAGGTTTCAGTTTTGGTTTATACTTTAAAAGGTGAACTGAATTGAAAAAATCAAAATTTCGTAAAGAAGGTTCAGGGAAGGGAACGGTTTGAATTCATTCAAATTATTTACATATAGAGAATAGTAATATACTTCTATTGTGAATCAGTTGGAAGAGGGGAGTCGGACAGAACACTTGCAAGCACAGAAATGCCGAGCTAGGTTAGACCATCTAGACTCTGCAGATGTTGAGAATTTGTCAGAGTGGAATAGCACCCGCTTGAAGCGGGTACTGGTGGATTACATGTTGCGCATGTCATACTACGAAACTGCTGCAAAGCTTGCAGAGAGCAGCAATATTCAGGTAATTCTGTATTCAACATTATCATTTTTTCTTTCTGAGTGGTGGTCTAGTCATCTTGTGATTTTGTTATGCGTTTTTCCCCAATCAAGAAATGAGTTATGTATCTCGTCTCTCACTTACCAACAGTAAATTTGACTGATTTCACTATCTTTTATTTCGTCTGAGATATCACTAGCATATTATTGTTGCTTGGAAGTATGTCTATGTCATATATTATTCCTAGTACTCTGGTTCTTCTGCTATGAACAACTGTTTGAATTTAGAAAAAATAGACAAACATGCAATGAATGAGTTTTGTCTAATTTATTCCTCAATGGTTCTCATACTGCTTTTACACCAAAAGGCTGGCATTTAAATGTTCTTTGATCTATCTGCTCCAGGATCTTGTTGATATAGATGTTTTTCATGAAGCAAAAAAGGTTATTGTTGCTCTTCAAGAGAAGGAAGTGGCCCCAGCTCTGGCCTGGTGTGCTGACAATAAATCTAGGCTGAAGAAGTCGAAGGTCTCTCTCTCTCTCTCTCTCTCTCTCTCTCTCTCTCTCTCTCTTCTTGGCCCTAGCTCACTATAAATTAACTCAGGCGACAGTTCTTTGCTACCTTTTCCCTTTCTCAGTGTATTATTTGAATCACGTCAAAGCAGAGATCTCATGTATAATATGCACAATATCATAATTTAGATAGTGAAGTTGTGAAAAATGTGACTATTGTTGCTACTATTTCTAAGAGTAATGATTTGTGGAATTTCTGGAATGGGTTTTATTAATTTCATGAGTAACTTAAGATTTCAACCCAAGTAATAAAAAGGAAATACATATCTATTGGTAACATTTGTTATGTGTCAGTATAAAATTATTCTTACTTGTCTATGAAGCCTGGGATTGACGCTTGAGCAATAGATTATAGAATGTGTTTCTTGCAGGCCACATCCACGTTATCAAACTCATATGTTTGATATTGTGATGTTAAATTAGTGATAGCTACAAGCCTGCATACATATGTACAAAAAAAGTTGAATGAGTACTATTCCAACTGATGCTCAGATTTTTTTCAACTTTATCATCGGTTCAATGAGTAAAAGCATTTCTATTTAAAAAATTTCTACTAAGAGTGTGTTTGATTGTCATGAAAAATTTTATTTTTCCACCCAAATTTTTACTTTTGAGGTGTTTGATTGACAATTTTTCCATGAAAATATTTTCCAACTTTTGATCATGTAACCATATTTTCCTCGAAAACAAGGAAAACATTTTCTTTAGCGATGCGTGATTTTTATTTTCCAGATAATCCACTCTCTCTTTCTTTCTCTCATCTATCCCCCTCTCTCATCTAATACCAATAAAAAATGGACAAGTATAATATTTTCTATATTGAAAACTAAATCAATCAAATATATTTAATTAATAATTTTTATACAAATAAGTTCTAGGCAATTCAATTGCCTATAATTTATTTTCTTTACATATAAATTCTATGCTCGCAATTAAGCACGCTCTAAGATTATCGTATGGAAAATTCATTGCTCCATGAAGGCATTTATGAGCCGAATATGGGCATTATGATGCATAAATATGTCTTAGCTATCTTAAGAAATGAGTCCGCTTTCCATGAGCTAGGTTGCTAATGTAGGAGATGCCACCACTTTTCCTTAAAGCTATAGCTAGTGGAGAAGCATAATCAAACCCTTTAATCACTTAGGAAAGGCTGAGGAATCCTCTGAAGCACTATTTATCTAGGGTTTTACTTCGAAGTATCTCTTACAAATATTCCCACCCTTATGATCAAGTGATGCTCCCCTCCTTGGAGGGTTGAACACGAGATCTCCAGTTTTGATACTAATTGATGTTGGGAGATGTATCCACTTTTCCTGAAAGTTACGGCTAGTGGGAGAGGTGAAATCAAATCCTTTATCATCTAAAATAAGGACCAGGGATCCACCCTAAGCACCATTCTTTTGGGCATTTATTTCGAAGTACCCCTTACGAACTAGGTCACACCCTTATGTTCAAGTCACGCTCTGCATTAGTTGCTCAAGGCCATCTTTGCCGTACTCAATGTTGTAAACTGAAATAATGTCTTATTTCTGAAAATTTATTTGCTAGTTACATGTGGGAGGGATCTGAATATTTTTGGATGCTAACATTAGTGTTCAAAGGTTCATGTCAAGATGCTCATAAAGATTCGGTTATGCTTTGATAGGCTCCAAGTGAGGTGTTTGCCGTATCTTATCAGTAGTAAATGCTTATAAGCAATTTTTACTGTTAATGAGTCACTCATGCTAATTACCAACTCAAGTTGAACTGTAGATGTTCCTTCTCCAAAACTACTTTAGTATCAATTAAATTACTAAGCAGATTATTTCGCTGTTGAAGTTATCGTTAACTTCCTGCCATGTGTATTGTGCATATGGACCATTTTCGATAGGGCAATTTTGCAAGTTAATCAAAAAAAGTTTCTACCTTCTCTCGTCGACAAGGGAGTATGATAGGCCCCAAAGGAAGCGCACAAATATTTCCATTTAGTTAGTTAAAGTGCGGCAGGGGTATAATGGGGATTTAGTAGAATAATTGTACGGGCTTCTAACTATAAATAGCAGGTACTTCATTTCATTTTAGGCAGAAATAGGGTATTAATAGAGGAGAGAGGCAGCCTCTTGAAAGCTGGCCAACTATCTATAATTTTCTTTCATTTAGTTTGCAATTCAACACAATAGCTACAATATACAAATACATCTCTGGGATCATGGTTTAAAAAGGCGGTGGTGAGGCGCGCCGCGCATATAGTATGCCTCGAGGCGGTATTTTTGAGGCTAAAAATATGAGACTCACGCCTCTAAATCTGAGGCGCGCGCCTAATTTAAAATTTGATTTTTTAATTGTATGAAAAGAAATAAAAAATAACCCTTCTTAAAAAAGAAAAGGGTCCATTTAAAAAGTCATTTTGGGCCCAAACAAAATAATAAAATAATTAAAAAACTAAATGGCAGCCAAAAATTAGAGGACCAAAAAGGGAGCAGATTCAACAGAAATTCAAAAATCAGAATTCAAGAAGAGTATCGTCTTCTTCATCAGTTCATCAGGTATGTTTTTCCTATTTTCTTCTTCTTCGTCTTAGGGTTCAGTAAATCTTGCATGCAATTAGTTGTTTCATATACACATCTGAAAATTATAAATTTAATAAATGTTTTGATTTATATAATTAACACACGATTTCATCCAATCGCTTGTATAAACTCTAAAACTAAATGAAGATGGTTTTGTAGAAATTGAGAGTAACGAAGAGGAAGATGATGAGAAAATTAGATATGATGATTCCATTAACGATACTAGTAATAGTGATGATAGTGCAGACTATTAG